TTAGATAAATTGTTAAACTTACATATTTAGACCTTTTGGAGTTTCCCACATAACCTCATAGTTGAAAAGTCCTTGACAGTTCACAAAGCACTTTCACAAAAGTGTTTTTCTTGTCTTTCACCTTCCCTTCTGAAGCAGGTATTATTATGTCGTTATTGAACATTGTGGATATATTATTGTATCACATATTATTATCCACATTATGTAAGGATTCTGTGTCGCAGGGAATTTCAGTATTACACCCAAGATTACACCTCCAGTAAGCAAAAAAAGTCAAGATTCACCTCCTGTTTTAACACTCATTCAATCCCCCCATCAACACGTGCTCATTGGACACCTTCTACAGAAGAGGCCCTGTGCTAAGTACCAGGTCTAGAGATTCATTCAGTAGATATGATGCCCCCTGCACGGAGGTAAGGCCCAACGAATCTTCCTACTTCTTCAGCACAGGCAGAGGAGAATGCCGCATCCCAGAGGAATGGGTCAAAAGAAAGAATGATCCCAAGGGATGAGAGCCATGAGTTTCATCTCAAGCTTACTCTTTCTTTTTTCTTCTTTTCTTTCCTTTGACATGTGTCTTACTCTGTTGTCCATGCTGTCCTTGAACTCCAGGTTTCAAGCAATCCTTCTGCCTCGGCCTCCCCAGTAGCTGGGACTATAGCACCTGTGCCCTACTACAGCACATTCTAGTGGCTTTCAAGAACCATCTTCTTCTTCTGAATGCTAATGATGCCTACCATAAAACATGACACTGGCTCTTTCATCTGATCTTCAGAGATCCTCAATTTTTAGCACTTCAAACTGGTCTAGGGGACAGGAGAAAATAAAGAAAACATGGAAGAGGAAGAAAGAGATAAGAGTCTCAAACAAAAAAAGGAAGGAAAAGGAGGATAGGTGCTCAAACTGATAATAAAGAAAAAGGAATGAGACTGTGAGCCCCATTTTTGTTGTGCCAGCCTTGTTTTTCCCTCTCGTGTCTACTTTACATGACAACTAATATCTAGCTGTAGTTGGTCACATAGTTTATGGAGACTAAATATATTAACCAGATGCCCTCAGTGGAAGCAATGCAATGCCACTATTGGCTATAAACATCCCCCCAAGCTTGTGTTGAGCACACAGTTACAGAACTGTTCTAAGTGCTTTGATTTAGTCACTGATTTGATCTTTGATCAGTCCTGGGAAATAGGGTGCAACACCCTCCAGTTTTGCTGAAGAGGAGCTGGCTTAGGTGAATGGTACAATTTGTTCAAGTCACACAGAGACCAGTGCCAGGCCAGGAAACGAACCCAGATCTGAGTCATACTCGGCACTCAGTATCTATACTGTGCTCTTACCGCTACCGCTACATTCCCAACCCAGAAGTTTGCATGAAGTCTCCTGGCACTTTAAAAATATAATTAGATATGACTGTATGTGTTTGGAGAGATTTTTTCAGAAGGATAGAAAGGGAGAAGTTGGTGCCACCTGATAAAGTTGTGCAATGCCTCTTTCCCTCTTCTGCGGGCCTCTGACTCGGCAGCATCGGCATGTGATCACACATTTCCGATGAAACAAATCATTCAAGAATAAACTCATGCAGCTAAGCATGGTGGCACATGCCTGTCACCCCAGCACTGAGAGGCTGAGGCAGGAGGACTGCAAGTTTGAGTCCAGCTTTGGCAACTTAGCAAGACCTGTCTCAAAATAAAAATAAATACATAAATTTAAATAAGTAGTTCTTACATAAAAATAAATACTGAGGATGTAGCTCAGTGCAGAGGCTCCAGATTCAATTTGTAGTAGCACTAATTAATCAACCTGAGCAGATCTGACAACAGCACTGTGTGAAACTATCACTTTGTCACGGCTGTGTGCACTGATGCCAAAGAGCATCCCCTGGAATTAGCAGGACTGATGTCTCCCATAAGCTGAGAACAGAGCAATGGAATTGCCTGGACGTGATGTCTCAGTGTGACCCCAGCACGTCCACAGCCTCGGCTGAGGAGGAGTACGGAACCCATGTGGGACACGATGGAGGATGAGTGTGTGTTTAGTGTGTGCGCTAACACCTCCATGCTGGCCACACCATGCTCACACCAGAGCCCTGTAAAAGAAGACTGCGTGTCTGGAAATTCTAGGAGACCACCTTACACCCCATTCATTCTGTGTTCTAGGTGCTCATAGAATGGACTATGAAGTTGAATTTCTGAGTTACAGGTGTTTCCTGTCCTGTATTCCTTGTGTCCTGCTGGGCAGCAGGCAGAGACACCCCACTCACAGCAAGTGTGCAAGCTGGGCATTCTCTACAGGCTTATCCGGTATGTGGCTTCTGTGTACAGAAGTTGCCTTCCACAATGTGGCAAAAATGTTGCTGAGTCCTTCAGCATAGCTTCCTGCAGAAGAGAACATGATCAGGCTTCACGCAGCCTACATCAAGCTGAGTAAGAGAGAATTGTTCCGGAAGAAGGGCATGATTGAGAAAGAAGACTGGTTCTAATAAGGCCTACTGTTAGGCAAGAAGGCCTTAAACAAACAGTAAGTGGCACAAAGTAAAAGATTAACATACCTGATGGCTTTTTCTTCTCATGCATTTTTGGGGAGTAAACCCAGGGCCTTTGCACTGAGCTACATCTCCAGCCCTTTTTATTTTTTGTTTTTGAGAAGAGTCTCATTATGTTTCCTAGGCTGGCTTTGGACTTGAGATTCTCCTGCCTCTACCTCCCCAGGAGCGTGGATTACAGGCATAGACTCCTGGCTTGCATCGAACTTTTTTTTTGATCAAATTTTTAAACATTCATAACAACTGAAGACAGCTATGGTTTTAAAAGATAATCAACAAACTAGAAGAAATCTGCTATACACAAACATAATTTTTATCCACAATATTCAAAGACTCCTTATAAATCAATAAGAAAAAAACCAAATGATAGGAGAATGGGAAAAAGCTATAAACAGGTAATTCCCTGAATAAGAATTATAAGTGCTTAAAAAACACATGAAAAGATGCTCAATATGCAAAGATATGTAGCCCTACTAGTAACCAAGAAAACAAGAACCAACACAAGATAAACAACAAATTGGAGAAATTACACAAGATTGCTACAACCTAATACAGGCATTATCTGTTTAACAAATATTCAGATTTATGAGCCACCCTTTCCTTTGTATAGTCCTATACACTGTTTATAGGTCCTCGAGGTCTTATTTTTGTAGAGTATACCTTGTTTATACCATACTGTAATTTCTGCTGACTGTATTATACAGTACAGTACTGTAGTTGTATGTTCTGTTATACATCACAGTACTGCATGTAAGAGTTATGCAAAAAGCAAAATCGTCAGCTCAGAATCTCCTTTGACCATTTGATTGTTCTGCATGTTGTAATTGTATAATACATACTACATACAATTCCTCATTTAGTAAGCAATTCATTTAACGACCTAGTCGTAGGTACTGAACTCGGTCATTGAATGGGGAGTGTCTGTGTGAATCAGCCCACTGGTGGCAGGGGCAGCTCTCACAAGCTGCTGGGGAGAGTGACTCAGTGGAAACAGGCTGGAAGACAAGGGTCTAGTAGACACACCATAACCCAATAGTCCTATGACCCAACATCTGCCCTAGAAAAGACACACACACACACACACACACACACACACACATACACATGTGCATGTACATACAGGGAAAAGGGGCACAAAGATACTCAGGAAAGTACTATTTGTGACAGCAAGATCTGGAAATAACCTAAATATCCATCAGCTGGAATGGCCAGCTAGCTAGTCAATGGCACTTACATACAATGGAAGATATGAAGGACTCTAACGATTACTATTTTAAATAGCTTTGATTGAAAAAGAAGTTGCAAAATAAGTACTGTGCCCTATTTTTATAAGTACTTGTTTTTATAAATAAAAAATTTTAACAAAGAAATACTATGGGGCTGAGGATATAGTTCAGGGATAGAGTATGTGTTTAGCACAAGGTTCTGCATTCAACCCCCAGCCATCTCCCCACAGGCAAAAAAAAAAAAAAAAGAAAAAGAAAAAGAAAAATCTATTAGTTGAGCATGGTAGCATGGCCCTATAATTCCTGCTACCTCAGAGGCTGAAGCAGGAGGATCACTTGAGCCCAGGAGTTTGAGACCTTGCAAAATAGCAAAACAAAGAGGAAAACAAAAAACACTACATGTGTGTGTATTTTCTTTGGACTTATTCAATCGGCATGTTCTGCATATAAAATAATAAGTAACCTGGGAGAGGTGAAAGCTAGCTAGAGCTGGGCATTGGAAAGAGACTCGGGAGAGATATAATTGATGTTTTTAAAATAAGTACTAAGTGTACTGGAACAGAAAGGAAAGTATCACCTTCAGCTCTGAAAGGCTTCTTATCAATGCCAGTTCTTCATAGCCTTGGCTTTTGAAGCATTGATAATAAACTGAATTTTTACTTAAAAATTCTTTCTAAAACGGCTCTTGTTAGTGATACAGTACATTGTGTGTGGTTTTTGTTAATCAATAAGCTTTAACAGCCCAGAATTTATTATAATAAAAAACTGAAAAAAATCAATTTGCAAGTAATAAACTTGCAAAATGTACACCTGTCTTTTGCAACATAATGAATGCCTACGTTGAACAGCATCTAATAGCAATCTTTCTGTACTAATTCTGCATCGTTATGCCAACTGCCAAGCTAAGTGTGAGCAGCTGCCCCTACCTTCTCCAGGAAACTGTTTTTTTGGTTCCCAGACCTCACTACCACGATTCACATTGTTAGAAAGAAAAATTGGAGACTGGAGTATTTTCCAGCTCAAGGATTCATTAAAAATGAGCCAAAAGGGACTTTTTTTAATTTAAAAAAATTAAAACTTCTAATACAACCAGCCCAAAGAAAATAAAACCCTTAGGTAGGTGTTTTATCATTGTTTTAATTGGCAAGGAAACTCAATTTCTATTTCACATTTTTAAAAGTAAAGAAGTAGAAGACAGGAAGAACGATAAAGACAATGTCCACAACACATACCCAGCCTCCGTTTTGCCGTATCCAGTCTCCTGTGTGGTTCATTATGAACTCAGCCACGAAGTAAGAAATCTCCTTGTAAGTGTTCCCATCTGGGGCAATCGGCTCTGGCAGTTTCTTGAGGATGACCCCACCAAAAGCAAATATGGTCACAATCCGTCCCCAGTTAATGACTCCATCCTCGAACTCCTTCTCCATTACCTGGTTGAATATTGTCCTGGCAGTGTCTATGGACGCCACATCAAATCTGTCTAAGCTTGGCTTCAGACTCTTTTCAACTTTTTCCTGGACTGAGAAAGCTACATCCTGTAGCACTCTGGATGTCCTGCTGGGGCTGGTCCCTCGATGAGGTACTTGTAGGACGTGAAGCAGGTACTCCTGGGCCAGAGTTTGAGTGTACCTGAACTCCAGGTCAATCATCTTGGGCTGGGGAGGACAGCCTGGAGCTGGCTCGCCTGGGACCTGTGCAGGCAGATGGAGGCAGCCAGCAGCAGAGCTGAGCAGGATGTGACCCATAGCGATAGCTGCTGGCCGGTGGAATTTCTGTTTGCATCATGGTTTAGGATCCTTCCTCCTACTTTCTTGCGTAGGCTGTGTATGAAAGAGAAAGTTTAAAATGTGAAAGAGGAAAGTATTTTGAAGAGGTCACTTCCTCATCCTGTGATTAATGCAGTTCGAAAGTCATAAATGTGAGGAGGTGGGGAGGAATCCGGATTCTCACACATTGCCGGTGGGAACGTAAATTGGTCCGGCTCCTGAGAAAAACTTTCAGATAGAATTGCCAAACCCGGCCAGGCCATTCCTAAGTACTAAAGGAGCTGAAGCTGTGCCCTCTCAAATAGGCCAAACTGGCAGACTTGACAGTTTCAAGCTGAAATCACTGGGGGAGCTGTAGCTTGGAGAGCCTTGTGGCTGGTAATTGGGGCTGCAGTGTACCTGAGTAAACAAACTCTGAAACTGCCTTAACTTCCAGGAGCTTCCAACCGTGCCCCCATATCTCAGTAACATCCTTAGATTTACTACCCTAGTCCAGATACCATTTGTCCTGCACAAATACATTGTTCTTTGTCTAAAAAATATAAAAGCATCCTGCTTTGGTCATTTATTTGGACTTCACTTTTTTTTTTTTCTCAGTTTTTTGAGACAGGTCTTGATACATAGTTTTCAGGCTGGCCTTGAACTCCCAGTGATCTTTCTGTCTCAGCCTCCAGAGTTCTGGGATTACAGGTGCGTACCACTATATTATGCTCTAAAATGGTAATTTTATAGTAGTGAATTTCACCTTCCAAAAAAGTTTTGGTGCAGCAGGGGAGTGGAGGATAAGCCAGATTAATAGAAAGTCAAGAATGGACACTTAAGAGGCCTGAGTGTCAGAAGCAGGGGCCCCTCAAGGTTGATGTATTTGGTAGTACTGCTTGATACTTGCTACGCTATGGGAAGGGGGCCAAGCACCTCCTATTTACTTCAGAATTTCTGACAGAAAATAAAGTCAGGCCTTAAACCTTAGTTATTATTCTTAAGTCAGGTAAACTGCCTGATGTATGGAACAAATATTTGTGAGAATGCAGAGAGCGCTGGCCTTCAGGTCAGAGGCCCTGGGTGAGTCCCAGCCAATCGTGTCTTCCCTACTCACTCTGTGCCTGGCCAGGGCTTCCATGGTAGAGAGAAGTAACCCACACTAACCTCGCAGTTGAAATTGTCTAGCACCATGTCTTCTGAAATGTAGGTGCTCAGGCAGAGTGAACTCCCCATTGTGTTTTCATGGACTAATGAGGAATTTGGCTCCTGGTCCCCTCCCTACCCAGTGAGTGCATAACTTCCTAAGTGCACAGTTTGAAGTGAACAGCAGATCTGTCGTTTTATTTCACTTTGGCAGGGCTTCTGAGTAAAGCTTGGCAGAGTTGATGAAATGAATGGCTCAGAGGAATGTTTGGGACTTTGGGGTGGATTTTGAATCTCCTTCCCTGAGTACATAGCAATTACAGCAGCTTCCAAGTCCTTGGGGGAGGTGGGGAACCATTCCTGCCTGGCAGCTGCACACTGAAGAGGCAGTGACTAGAGAAGGAGAGGGTTCATGGTTACTGGAAAATTTGAATTCACTTTTTTCCCCATCCCTAGCTGGAGTGATTTTGATTGCAAATGGAAGAAAATTAATGTGCAACTTGTATTCTTGTCACCACAGGGTTAAGTAGGAAGGGAGAGGGCTGTTTAGGGTGCCAACCTCCTATGTGGATAACTGAGTCCAGACTTGTTGCTTCCCTGCAACTCTACCCCTGACTATGCACTGAGGTCTTGCATCCCACAGGCCATTCCCAGCCAGTGACAGCAGGACAAGAACATGAAGACCATTCTACAAGTCAACTTCCCTTGACAAGTGACTAGTTCAGGAGCCACTGAGCTTGTAGAAACCTTTCCACATTGCATAGCAGTCAAAGGCTCTCCTCCACCTGCCTTCCCTCTCTGTGTCACACAGTCAGTTTGCACAGCATAGTCTCTGGCAGATCACTGCCTCTTCCCCTTCCAGTTCTCCTTACCCCTCACACACCTGCCTACTTCCTCATGGCATTTACTTCTGGGACTACCCAGATCAACATGGGATCCTTATAGAACAAGGAGCTTAGAGTTCTGCAGAAGCCTATGTCTCCAGAGTTTGCCTGGGAAAGTCCTCCCAGACTGGGCCCCTCTGTCTCCAGGTGCAAAAAGCCTAGGGAAGGTTGCTCCTTACCTCAGATTATCTCTGGGCATCATAAAAACTACCAAAAGGGTAGGGCAATTGGGTTTTCTTCCCCTGTTTCATTTGCATGGTGCTGAGCATTTATGAAAAAATAGTAGAAGCTCATGGCTTAAGAGTTGCAGTTCAGCATTTTTTATTCTCTCTCCACCCAGTGCTCTAGCCTGGACCCCAGAAAGGCAACTAGTTGATCTTTGGTGAATAAAAAATGCACTTATCACAGCCAACTATATTTAGGGCTTCATATTCCTGATCTGGATCAAAAAAAGAGAGCTGCTTTAAAACTTCTCAGATATTGTAGCTTGTATTGATGTACTTTGGGAAGTTTCCAAATAATTGCTTTTCAAGTGTAGGTGAGAAAGAGAATGACAAAGTATTTTTTTAAACCCCAAATCATTATTTTTGTATATAAAGTGCAAAAGGTCTGAGGTGGAGGGTGGAGGGACAGGGAGGATTAGAGGCAAATAGCTGACCATGAAACAATGTCAGGCATGGGAGTGTCCTTCCTCCATGCCACTACAGTCTGTATTTCCTGGGCCTACTTAAAGACTATAAAGACTATTGCCTGTCTTCTGAGCTGCTTAATCTACAGATTGACTTTTGCATGAAACTGAGTCCACCCTAAGTACACTCTGAGCAGGCTGACCACGGTAGGTAGGACCTGGAAGCTATTTGTGTATCCATTATTTCATAAATGCATTCTGAGGTAGTACTGTGTACTGTACCCAGACCTGCATGATGTGCTGGAAATAAAAATTCCTGTGCTGGGGATGTACCTCAGTGGTAAAGAACTTGCCTAGCACATATGAAGCCCTTGGTTTGCTTCCAAGCATTGAAGAAAAAATTCTTTCCTTAAAAGAGTTTTCAGTCTAGAGGAAGCTTTAGCATAGTGTAGATAGTCCAAGGTTCTGCAGAAAGGAATAACTAAGAGATCACTGCAGTAGCTTCAAATTTAGAGATTCTCTGCATTTCACACTAAGGCCTGAGCCCAGTTTGAGACCATGGAACAACTCTGAGGTTCTGAGAAATGCGTACATGTGACCCTGCTCTACTGTGGGCCAAGGGCGACAGGCTGCAAATTATTTATCATACCTTTCCACACTTAATACAGATCTATTGCCTGGGAAGCTGGGAACATGTTTCAGTGGGAGAGCATGTTTCAGTTCCTAACAAAACACACGCATACACGAGGAAGTGCCTGTGGCATTTGTCAGCCCAACAGTGAATTAGGAATTTCTTCCATTTTTAATGTGCTTTGAATTCATTTTTGTGATGATTATCACGTGATCAAAATAGACAGTGAACAATGCTGTTGCGTACCATCCAATGAAAAGCAAGGATTTTTGTTTTTCAACAGTAGGAAAAATGTAATGAAGAAAGATAGCTTCTGTCTAAGAGACAGAAGGAGGACCAGAAAGTGGGCTACCCCAGCAGGGATCTTTCATACAGAGGCAGTGCACTGAATCCTAGTAAAGATGTTGGCAAGTTTTAACTTGTCCAGCATGGTCAGTCAAGTGTGAGCTGCCATAGGAAGAGGTGTGTTTTAAAGTGTGCTGTAAATCATAAATCACAAACAATGCATTAACACAAAATCTTGTCATTTCACTGCAGATGTGAGACTGTGCTGTTTCAGATTCCATCCTTTTACGAAAATACCAAATAGTTTCTCTGGTATAAAAGAAACTAAAGTGTAAATAAGGTTCAAATGGTATAAGTGATAACGTGAAATAGGAAGAAAAGATCTAAAGGAGAAGGGGAAGTGGGAAGGATAGGGGGAAGGAAACAAGGGAAAAGAAAAAATATGAGAAAAGGAAAACTGGAAACAAAATCTTTGTAAATAGGGAGGGGTGGGGGGTGAAGGGAGGGTACGGGGTGGGGAAAAATAAGAACCAAGATGGATTATGTAAAAGTACAAGATCCCAATTATTTACCTTAAATGTACCAATAAACTTAATGAAAAAAAAAAAGAAATGTCATTAAGGGAGATAGAATTTGGATCTATGGTTTTTATGATCTTAAGACCAAGGATCAGAGTTTTCAATGGAAATCACTCAGTTTTCATGTGAGAAAAGCACATCAAGCAAGATCCAACATCAAGGTCATGGTAACTTTTATTTGACCTTGATGGAATTATTCAAGCTGAATCTGTACCCAGGAGCACGATGGTGAACTCTGAATACCATGATTTGCTCATTAGAGCATTTAATAAATCATGTTCATAGACTATGGTCTTAGAAATAGGCAAATTGTTTCTTCCTCTATCATGACAATGCTTCTTGTCACACATCACTTCTGGTAAGGCAATTTCTGTTAAACAAAAACGTCATGCTGTATCCTCATTTACTTTGTTCACTGGACCTAGCACTGTACAACTTCTGACTCTTCTGCAAGGTCAGAATGAACATGAAAGGTAAACATTTTGAGTTGATTCAAAACATCAAGGCAGCCACAGTGCACAATAAGACACTCACAAAAGAGGACTTCCAGAACTGCTTCAGAAAGTGCCAAGATGGGGTGGGGATTTAGCTCAGTGGTTCTGGTGCCTGCTTCACGAGCTCAAGGGCCTGAGTTTGATCCCCAGTACCAAAAAGAAAAAGAAAGTGGCAAGAATGGTGGGATAAGTGCGTGCAAAGCAAGGGGAGTATGTTGAGGGGAATTAATGGCAATGGTTCTTTCAGTATAATAATTTTTTTTAACTTAAACATTCACTGTAGTGTTTGATCACCCCTCATCTACATGAACTACAACCTCGTGTGCTTTCATTGTGCTTATGCCAGCTGCCACACTTACACATGCATGCTCCAGTTATGTACTTATTTCTAACAAATGACCTCCTAAAAATCAGGGGCTTAAAACAATG